ACCTCGACTCGGAAAAGACACAGTTTCCGATCGGGAGAGGCAATCAAAATCAAGCTGCGGGTGCGGCTCGGGCGCGTGTCGGGTCGGGAGCGCGGCGGATCTAATTCCCGCCGTGCTCCCGACCCGCTATGCGCCCGACCGAAATTTGATTTTTAACATAAAAAACCCACAAAAAAAACCTAAAGGGTGAGATCTAGTCTTGATCTTGAAGGCTGAGGTTCAAAATACGATTGTAATACAATTCATCACAACACGTTATTAAAAGTTACTCAAAATAAATTCGTTAAAAGATAAAATTTGTGTATCCAAGAAAATGGAGCTCATTTCGAGCAACTAATTAGTTAGATTACCATATTTTTCTTAAATCGTTTTATTAAAATACGTTAAGATTTCATGGTTTTTTTTTTCATTTAATAAACCAATTTTGTGAGAGAGATTTTATTCTTATAATTAACCCTATCGATCGATGCAATAAAAGTGTAGGGTGCAGATTCAGATTAAAGCGGGTTCGATTCCCGCGTGTTGCTAGAAATTTTCGAAAATCTATGAATGCAATTTTATTTCTTTTAAAAAATAAAGGAATGTTTCCTTTAAGTAAAAATTTCTATCTCCAGTATTTAGAGTACTTTCCCTCCAGGTGGCATTACAAATTTCCACCCGGAATATTCTTGAAACAAAAGTTAGTGTCTTATTTTATTTCAGTTATTCCGTTTTACTTTTTCTGGAAAAAAAAACAAATTTAGTAAAAAACCAGGGCGCTGTGTTTATTTCATGTTTTTTTTCAAAAATGTGAAATAAAATGTGGTTTTTTTTCACATTCTGACTGATAAGTTCCCTGTGAAGGCTTGCTTGCACAGCTCATAATGCCCTTCCCGTATAATTATGAGGTTGCCAGGGGCACTATAAACAAAACTTAAGTAGTAAGATATGGGACAGTTCAGTCAGTGTTAGAATGATCTTTTTTTTTATAATATCAAGTGACAAAAGGAATAAGTCGTACGCCTGATGGTAAGCTACATGCCTGTCCATAACAGTTGCAGTGCCACTCAGAGCTTTAAATCACAAAGATCTGAGGGGCGTTTCCACTACTCCCGTCACCCTGAGACGTAAGTTAACAATTCCCATGTGCCTATAATATCACCCTTACCCTTCAAAACTGGAACACAGTAATGCTGACATTACTGCTTGGCGGCAGAAATAGGTATTTCCCTGGACGAACTCTTTCACACAGAGCTCTACAGCTACTAAAATCTATATATTTTACTAAAAACATAATGAAAAATGCACTTTACGTACATTGCAATAATGTTGGTTTTTGTCTAATACTTTCAGCGCTGACTGCGTCTATATTTTATCGCTGTTGTGACTTACCCCTAGCGAGGATCTGCAGTGATATAATGGCCTTCGCCTCGCCGTGCACGTTACGGGCGACGACGCTGTAGGCACCGGTGTAGTCCAGCTTCGCGTGCGGAATCTCGAAGCGGTACTCGGGGCCTGCGCCTACGCGTTTGAAGTGCGACGCGTCGCGGTAATAGTCCGGCTGGGAGACAAACACTCCTATGTAGCTATCATTTGTGAACTCTTCGTTTTATTTATTTATTACACAAGTTACAGTAATAGAAACTAAATATGTAAGCCATTTTCATTACAGGTTTGAGTCAATCACCGCCCAGAAGCAAGATACTGAATTACGATCACAGAGCTTCGGGCGGTGACGGCGGTGAGAGTTACAGAACACGTCAGTATCATTAATAACCATTTAAAATTTCTATCAAGGCTAGAGCGTCGTAGAATGGTGTCCGCCTTAGTCAGGGCTGGGTAGTATATAAATTACTTGTAATTGAAATACGTATTTAAAATACAAATACGTATTTTGTATTTATATTATTTACTCCCTAAAAATGTATTTTGTAATTGGTATTTCAAATATCTGACTGTAATGTATTTTGTATATTGATTTTCACATAACAACAAATTGCTTTTTTTTTCATTGTAATGCCTATTATGTGACATGCATAGATATATATGATATTGAACTCAATGGTGACGTGTGTGTATGTGTATGCATGTGTGTGTGTGTGTGTGTGTGTGTGTGTGTGTGTGTGTGTGTGTGTTTGTGTGTATAAAATGGAACGTTCTCAAAATTAAACTCTATGGGTATGAAAAACACGTATCCAATGCAGGAAAAACACATTTGCAGGTGGCAACACTGCATGGCAATATCAAAGACGTCAAAGTCATCTTTTCGCGGCTATAATCTTACACTATGGAAACCAATTTTTTCCATCTTCTAAAGTTATAACTTAAGAGTAGTTCAACCCGGACACTGGCAGAATTGTCCTTAGTGGGACAGAAGCCAAAACACATCCTAAGAGTCGTATTCCAGAACTCTACTCAATGCTCAAGTCAGGATCTGAGTATGATTTCAAGCACTGGAAATACGACCGTAATGGCAGGGACTTGAGTATGATTTCGAGTGCTTTAAACCATACTCAAACCCTGACTTGAGCATTGAGCAGAGTTCTAGAATACGACCCTGAGTGTCGTATTCCAGAACTCTATTGAGTAGACTCAATGCTCAAGTTAGGGCTTCAGTATGATTTCAAGCAATGGAAATACGACTCTAGTGGCAGGGACTTGAGTATGATTTCTAGTGTTTTAAATCATATTCAAGTCAGGACTTGAGTATGATTTCCAGCACTGGAAATACGACCCTAATGGCAAGGACTTGAGTATGATTTCTAGTGCTTTAAATTATACTCAAGCCTTGACTTGAGCATTGAGTCGAGTTCTGGAATACGACTCTTAAGGTTGTAAAGGCATTGTGAATTTGTGATTTTAATAAACCATCTTTCTAATTTGTGTTGTGAACGTGATAAGAACGGCATTTACACGTACCTATATAAAGTATTCGTCTTGCATGGGAAATTAATAATAATTGTACGAACTACGTGCTCTGTAGTATGATTGTATTGATTGGCTTAACACTTTTTTCTAGTAAAACTGAATAATTGAAAACTTCTTTTTCAAGATATGTATTGTGTAAGGAAAAAACTTTGAATAATATTGTTGGTTTCCACATGTCGCGACAGGTATATTAATAAAGTATATTGTAATTTGTATTTTAAAAACACCCCATGAAAGTACTTTGCATTTCAAATACACCTCAAGAAAGTTTGGTATTTCGTATTTTATATACATATAGGGAAGTATTTTGGAATTTGTATTTCAATTAAGACGTAGCATATTTGTCCAGCCCTGGCCATAGTGCCTCCGTGCGTATTAGACGTAGAGCGAACAGAGGGTGTCGACACTGGCGTAGAACGTATCGTGGTATTGGTGGTTTTAGAAAAAGGGATCTGAACCTTAAAGATATACTTGATAAGCGCCAATTTTAACCATGCTGCCGCCGTTAGTTGAAAGGGCGCATGTGACATTTATAAAAAAAATACATTGTCTATTGCCGTGTTAAGTAAAAAATGAATGATTGGTCACTATATTTACTTTTTCCTATGTGGCTAAGATATGAAGTTAACGCAAGAGAAAAGTAGATGTATTTTTAATAAAATTTCTTTAAACATAATGTTCTCGGTTTTGAGCTTTTGTCACTAGCGCCCTAACGGCGGCAGTATGAACAAACTTCGTCATGACCAACCACGTTTGAAAGTTTGTAAAACTACCTCCATGAATATAGTGTAACGGCGACAAAAATGTACAATAATTTAATAAGTATAATTTGCCGAAAGTCTGAGAAAAACCTTATACTATTTAAAAAAACTATTACTAAACTAACGGAACACTCAAGTATTTGAGTCGAATTTTTCTGTCTGTGTGTGTCTGTTGAAGTGCATGTGAGTAAATGTATAATAATATACCTTACAATGATCTTACACACGTAAACATTGCTTTTATGTATTTGTATGCCTGATTTGCGTTCGACATAATGATCTACAGTGTTCTTTTGCGAAGTTAATTCGCCAATTTATTATTGCGTTAAGTAGCCGATTTCTACTTGGTGCCGGACATTGGGGAACATGAACTCTCTTATTTCCGAAATTACCCACACGTAGAAATACTCAAACCCCCAAATGAGTTATTTTACAACTCCATTCGCCACAAAATCTCCAATCAAATTTGTAATTCCCTAGACATTTTATTAAGTAGGCTAAAATCACCTTTTCCTATTTTACTTTTTAGTCGCCGCGCGGCCTGTCGAAATAGCCTGAATGGCGAAAAATCGCCTAATCTGGCAACATTGCTGATCTACACTTAATTTGTACATGTAAACTTCTGACTAGAGATGAGATTAACTGCTATATTCGCAACAAAACTTAAAAATTATAATATTTTTGTTGGAACATATTTTGTCGACGACATTAAATAAATTGTGGTACGGAGTTTAGCAGTGGAACGAAACTATTACCTTTAGGAAATCCCTTAGCCAGAAGACGTCAGGTTTGGGATCGCCGACAACTTCGCAGGCGATGATAACTGTATCACCCTCGTGCGCTTCGCTTGACCGCGGCTTACGGATGAACATTGGTTCCTTCGAATACCTGCGCCAAGGACATTTTACTAGCATCAATTCATCATCATCAAACCATTATACCCCCACTACCGGCCACGGGGCTTAGAAATTAAAGCCGTAAGCGTAAGTACGTCGGAAATTTTAATTCCGAAAAATACAAGGCACCAAAAAGGCGCTCGTTAACGGTTACCGCGTAGCCGCCACGAGATAACATCCCGCAAGACAGAGTCGCCATTAATTCTGCCTTAACAACGATAACGTTAAGTATAAATATCGATAATAATATTGTGATCGTATATGCCCACAACATGCACGGTCTTAACGTTCGTTCCTCGCAGGACACCGGGAATCGAACTTAGGATATCCTCATCTAGCGTCCACGGTGCTAACTGTTAAGTTCCGACGAAGTTTCTTTCATGCAAACCAGGATCAGCTTTTTCCATTTGTCCGAAGAGCAAAACACAATTGTGTGTTCTTTCTTAAAACTTGTTTGTTTCGATGATTACAAATAACCATGCATTATCAATAAATAATCCAAATCTGTACTAACGGCACGTCAGGACTGATGACTACAGGCGGAGTTCTCTTTTTCTCCTTAACGTCTCCTTCTATGACATCGACTTTGCCCGACGTTGACGCTCGACCGACTTCGTTGGAGGCGGTGCAAGTGTAGACCCCGGAGTCTCTCGGCGTGACCGACGCGAGCGCCAGTTCGATCTGCCCGTCGTGATCCAGTGTCATGATGGCTCTACGGCTTGGTCGCAGGCGCACGCCATCGCGGTACCACGACACTCCTACAGAGGGGTACGCTTCGACAACCGCTGATATTCTAAGTTCTTCACCTAAATTGTAAAGACATTGAATAATTAGAAGACCTATTGAACGTTTCAATAAGCAAATAGATGTAATTCCCCAAAATTTAGAGGTGTTTTTTATTATAATTATTTCTAATGCTGTAATATAATGTATCTGCTCCAAAGAATAAGGACTATATACCTTCGAGCAATCGGTAGAGCGGTTCGAGTCCGCAACAGAATTCTGGCGCGACGTAAGCGCGGATACCCTTGTCGACGACGAGGCTGCAGCGGCAGGAGACGGCACCGCAGCTGTTACGCGCCATCGCCTCGTATACCCCACCATCTTCTAATGTCGTTGGAGCTATTTCCAGCGTATGAAACAGCTCGTCTTGAGATGCCGTGTGTCGACCTGTTCACGAAACCAGTGATTACATTAAAAGACAGTAGTTTTGTTTATGTAAGCTAGTGAATTGTTTTCATATTTGGCCAAAAAACGACAGCTAACATTGAATTTTACCACATTAAAATTTAAGCAGTTTATTGATAGTCACTTGAAGCGAGTATAGAAGTAAAACTATTAGTTAAGTGCAACGAAGTTAGCCGTTAGGTACAACGATAAGCAAGACGCGATACGGGTTTCACTTAGAAGACCTTTTGATCGACTGGCTGTCGGTGCGCAGGAATGCATTGTGTCCTTAACCGAAACAATGGCGTTGCGGGTTACGGATTATTCATCGTGAAGTAAGTTGAAATTTACATTAATATTTTTAGGCAAATTAGTTTAAATTTTAATTATTGTTACTTAGTTTTTATTGTTATTAAGTTTATTTATTAGAAGTAAATAGAATATTAGTATTTAGTTTAAATTACATTATTAACACAATATTTAGATTTAGTGTTAGATTAGGTATTAATTAGTTTTCAGTTCGCTCTGTGATACAGGAAGGCAGTTTCCATATCCACACGATAAATACGTTTTGAAATGCAGTACAAAACCAGCCGACTGATACGAGAATAAAACACGATATATCGACAGCGGATAAATATAAATGCGTCGTGCCACTTGGCAGCACGAGATCAATCAGCCACAAACTAAAATCATTCGCCACCGTCATTTCTATGTAACCGCGTCTATCACACAAATGATAATAAACGCAATAAGTGTTGTGTATTCTTATACTCCAGTAACTACTTATTTAATTGAACTTACTATCGAAATTCACTTCGATTCCATCCTTGAACCAAATTAGTGTAGGCGCTGGTTTACCAACAACTTGACACGTCAATCGTACCGGGTATGTTGCTTGCACTCGCCGGTCTCGGAGCCGCATCGTGAATTGCGGGGGGTATTCACCCAGGACGTCTGCTGACCTCTCTCTGAAAGATTCGCCTGTTTAGTACAGCTAATCAACACAGATATCGATAAATAAATTGAGATTGAAGCATGCTAGTACTTGCCTTTTGAGCTTAGCGTCAGCTTCCCAAACTAAGCGATCGGTGACGACAGCCACCCGCGCATATGTCGAGGCGCGGCCGTGCTTGTTCGACCCCTCGCAACTGTACCGCGCCTCATCTTCCGGCTGAATGTTCTTAATGACCAGACTGCAATTGTAACCATTGAAAGATGTCTTCATTCGCCTTTCTTCGTCGTCGATTTCATGTCCGTTCTTCATCCACACAACTTCGGGTATTGGTTTTCCTTTAACACTGCAACTGAGAGTTGCTGTCTCCCCCAATAAAACTTTCAACTGTCCAGGAAGAATATCTACAAACTCTGGCGATGCACCAGCCAATCCGACGCCAACCGGCGATGACGTCTGCACTGACTCGCCCCACCCGTATCTGTTCCTCGGAGTGACACGGAAATGATATTCCTCGCCTTGTTTGAGGTTGAACGCGTCAAAGGAGTTCAGGGGCGTGATGCCAAGCTCCACCCAACGTGCGCCGCCTTCTTTACCGAGCAGCCAGCTCTCTACTTTGTAGGCCAGCACGGGTGCGGTAGCGCGGCTGTCCGGCTTGGGCCACGCTATTGAGGCCCAATTGTTCCCAACATCGACAACAGTCGGAACGCCCGGGATGCGTTCGGGCACAGCTGCAAATGAGTTTCAATATCAGCGCCTCAGCGGAGTTTCAATATCAGCGCCTCAGCGACAATGACCTTAACGGCATACTTGAAAAACTGCCAGGTATAGCTCGAGCCAATATAAATTATAGCTTTATCGATACTAACAATACTTTATCCGACACATTTGTTTGTAATAATAAAATAAACATACATGCCCCAAAACAAATTACTTAATGTCGTCGCTCTAGTGGTACAAAAAGGCTTGAAGAAATTATTGTAAAAATTGTCTAGCAAGTAATTTATGATGATGCGTTTATCAGTTAGAATAGTAGGTTTCTACATGTGTTAATGGTTTCTACTTAGATTTCCACTTCGTGTCTGTGTATAGACGATTAATAATACTGGATTAAAATATCCTAGCAACGTGCAAACTAATATTAAACTAATAACACTATACCAAAATAGGATGCCAGGTTCAAATTCTGGATATCGGTGTTCTAACCTGAAAAATTGGTTATATACCCCTGGGCACAACGCTACAGAGAGACCATTGGATCTCTCTGCATATGACGACATACTTACATTTGTATTGGCGTTCAACTGCAGACAAAGCTGAATCTTCCATCGGGTACGTCCAATCTGTTATTAAGTTTTCAGAAGAAGCTCTTTGTCGCACCTTAAATAATAATTTATGATAAGCACACTTTATTAATAACTTATTTTATTTTTTTAAATACTTAGTCAATTCTGTAAATAGAATTTGTATTTATGGTTACCTCAACCGTAACGAAAGCTCTGTCGCAGCCATACGCGTTTCTTGCGAGAATACAGTAGGTACCTGCATCTGTGACCACAGACCTTTTTACTGTAAATTTTACGTAATCATCAGATGTCATTTTGCAGACGCGCTGAGTGTTCGTTATGTCTTTGATACCTTTCATGAATGTCACTGTAATGGAATTCACACCCTTGTAATTTTGGTAATTCTATATAAAAGTTTATATACGAAATGGAAATGGATTTACCTTTGGGTTTTGGTTCACCCTGTACTCTGAACGAAATGTTTAAATCTTCTCCGACTGAAATCAAAATATCTTTCTCTGGACGTCCAACAATAATAGCTGCCCTACCTTCCATCTCATTTGGATGAACCACAGTGATGGCAGCGTTCATATCAACAGCCCCATGAGTACTCCAGGCTCTACACGTATACAAGCCTGTCTCCTTCTCTGTCACATCAGTTAAGGCAAGGGTGTAAAGACCTTGCTCAACAAAAGTCCGCGCATTTCTGTATAAATCTGTTACAGATCGACCTTCCTGTAACCATTCCACTTTTGTAGGAGCCCCTCGAATTTCAACCTGAAGACCGATAGTACCTCCTCTTACTACTTTATAATCTGTTAGAACGTTGGTGAAGTGTGGCCGCCGTGATTCCATCACCTGTCTCTGAAAGTGAGACCGTTCTAGCGTAGCTATATTCGGGCTTAACCGACTTTCTTTACCTGAAAATTTATTTTCATTTAGAAGATTACGAATTTAGTTGTTTTTTTACACATTTCTTAGATTTTAACCCAACAATTAATGAACCTCAACTAAATCAACGCAAATGACTTACCGGTAAAGCTTACAACGTGTGTTATCTGATCTGACCATACTGCGTTTTCAGCTTTGCAGATATATGTTCCACTGTCGTCTGGCGTTGGTGAACTAATGGATAATCTGCAAACTCCGTCGGCGAGGTAATAAGCCTGACATCTTTCATTCATACCCACAGGTCTACCATCTTTTATCCAAGTTATGGTAGGTAAAGGTTGACCTCGAATGCGACATTCAAGAACCAACTCATTTTCAGCTAGGTGATATGTATCTATTGGAGAAAATGCAAAAAAGTATTATTTCAAGTTAATTAATATTATCGTGTCTTGTTTACTTAGCAATGCATCTAGCACAAATTGCATCAAATTACCTCGGATAGAGCGCGTAAACGTCGGTGGAATAGGAGAAGCTTCAAAACTGGGGTACACTTTCAGATTTGCTGAAGAATTGATAGAGCCATTTTCGTTTTCGACTGTACAACTATATTCTGCAGAATCACTTGGCACAGCATTGAGAACCTCCAGTGTAATTAAACCATCCACAAATTTAGTCCGATATTTTAATTTGTTCTCTAGGGGTACGCCATTTTTATACCACGTTATAGTCGAATCACTTGAACATAGGACACTGCAAGTAAGTTTCACACGAGATCCTTCAACGGCTGTTCTATCTGTTAAATACGTCGAAAAGACCGGTTTTCTTTTAAGATCTCTGGGAACGCTTGATCGTCTTTCTGACAGCACACTGCGAGCTTCGCTTACTGCTTTTGTTCTGTGTCTCGTTTCTGATCGTCTTTCGGATTCCTCTTTTCGAGTAATGTTAGGAATGGGTGGCATCGAAGACCGAAGTTGAGAATCTAGTACAATTGTATGAGCTTTGTAAATTGTAGGACTACGACCATACCTATCTTTCTCAAATAAACTAAGAGGTGCATCGTCGCACGATCTTTCTGTGTATGCTGAAGGGCGTGCGAAATCCATTGTATAATCTTTGTGGTTATGGTCGACAAACCTTGGTTTTTCTTTTCCCTCAAATTTCCTCCTTGTTGTTGGTTCGTCGTATTCTGGGATTTCGGTTTGTTTTCTTATTCTTGTGTCGTCCCCATTTTCCTTGAATGCGTCTTCAATATATTTATCAGATTTTGATGGTCTGTTTTCTTTTATATATTTTGTTTCTACGTTCACAGTTTTGTATTTAGAATCGGATTTCTTTACTCGACTCAGATTATTCCAATCTTTCAATTCACTTTCTTTTTGCTCTTTAAGCCTAGCTTCCGCCGTAGCATCTGGCATAGTAAAATCAGTTTCTTTCTCCTGTTTTCGTTCTGTGGCACCAGCATAAAATGCTTCCCGTTTTTGGCATTCGGCGTCAGCTTTAACTTTAGCTTGTTTTACTTCTTCATCCTTTTTGTCACTTAGCTCGGATTTCACCCATTCGTTCTTTTCTTTTTCATCCTTTTCTTTCTTTGATTTAATTTTTTGCTTTTCTTTCTTTGTTACAGATTCAGCTGTCTCCGTTTCTATTTTGCCTTTGGTTTCATTTTCTTCCTTTTCTTTTAGAGCTTTGGCGTCAGCCTCTTCTTTTTCTTTTTTAATTTTAGAATCAGGATCCTCTTTTTCAGTCTTAACTTTTGTACCAGCTTCCTCTTTTTCTATTTTTGCTTTGGCTTTAGCTTCCTTCTTTTCTTTTTTTACTTTTACATCATTTTCCTCCTTTTCCATTTTAATTTTGGCTTCAGCGTCCTCTTTATCTTTCTTGACTTCAGTCTCTTCCTTTTCCTTTTTAGTTTTGGCCTCAGCCTTATCTTTTTCTGTCTTGTCCTGGATTATAGCCACTTCCTTTTCTTTTATCGCTTTAGCGTCTGTCTCTTCTTTTTCTTTTTTAGATTCATTTTCCTCCTTTTCTTTTTCTTTCTGGACTTTAGCTTCAGCTTCTTCCTTCTCTTTTTTTATTTTTGCTTCAGCTTCGGCCCTTTCATTATTAGCTTTTTCTTCAGCTTCCTTCTTTTCTTGCTTGGCTTTAGCCTCATCCCTTTTTTTTTTCTCTTTACTTTCATTATCCTCCTTTTCTTTTTTGGCTTTCAATTCAGCGTGTTCCTTTTCTTTCTTAGCTTTAGCTTCAACCTCCATCTTTTCTTTTTTAGCATTGGCTTCAGCTTCCTCCTTTTCTTTCTTAATCTTCGCTTCAGCGTCCTCTTTTTCTTTCTGGGCTTTAACTTCAGCTTCTTTTTTTGCTTTCGCCTCAGCCTCTTCCTTTTCTCTTTTAGCTTTAGCTTCAGCTTCCTTCTTTTCTTTCTTATTCTTGGCTTCTGCGTCCTTTTTTTCTTTTTGGGCTTTAGCTTCAGCTTCTTCCTTTTCTTTTTTCGCTTTAGCATCAGTCTCTTTCTTTTCTTTCTTAGCTTTAGCTTCCTCCTTTTCTTTCTTAATCTTGGCTTCTGCGTCTTCTTTTTCTTTCAGGGCTTTAGCTTCAGCTTCTTCTTTTTCTTTTTTCGCTTTAGCTTTAGCCGTTTCCTTTTCTATTTTAGCTTTATTTTCAGCTTCCTCCTTTTCTTTCTTAATCTTGGCTTCAGCATCCTCTTTTTCTTTCTGGGCTTTAGCTTCAGCTTCTTCCTTTTCTTTTTTAGCTTTTGCTTCAGCTTCCTCTTTTTCTTTCTTAACCTTGGCATCAGCTTCCTCCTTTTCTTTCTTAATCTTGGCTTCTGCGTCCTCTTTTTCTTTCTGGGCTTTAGCTTCAGCTTCTTCCTTTTCTTTTTTCGCTTTAGCCTTAGCTGTTTCCTTTTCTATTTTAGCTTTAGCTTCAGCTTCCTCCTTTTCTATCTTAATCTTGGCTTCAGCATCCTCTTTTTCTTTCCGGGCTTTAGCTTCAGCTTCTTCCTTTTCTGTTTTCGCCTTAGCCTCAGCTGTTTCCTTTTCTTTTTTAGCTTTGGCTTCAGCTTCCTCTTTTTCTTTCTTAATCTTGGCATCAGCTTCCTC